AAATATTATTATTTAAAAAAATTATTTAAATAAAAAACGAAAACAAGAAACAAAAATATAAAAAATACCATTTTTGAAAAAAATTTAGAATAAAAATTAAAACTAAAATAAGAATAGAATTAAAACTGAAAAAATGCAAAAAGGTGAGAAAAGCGTGATTTGAACTCGAGTCCTCATACTTGCATACTTCATTCCTTACCAACCGTACTATGTTACTCATTTGAAATAAAAAAACCCAATTGAAAGTATATGAAAGTGAACAAGTATTTGCTATTTAAAATACAAATAATTTGAAATAAACTATTATACATTTTTAAATGAGCGAAATAAATTATTGTTAAAATGTTAGTAAAAATAAACCACAAATTTTATAAAACCTAATTTTAAAAATAATTTTGACCGTAGAAATAAGGACGGACAAATTTAGGGTATGACAGCTGCCCCTATTTAATTACTCTTCGATTGAAGGGTGCGAGAATACGCAGATCTCACACATTCGAATCAGAAGATTATTAAATAATGGAAGACTCCAAAATTTGGACCAAAGATTATAAAGATACATTGTATAACGTTCCCCAGAGTACGAAAAATAGGCGAAGATGATGATGTATCATCCTACCAGAGTTTGAATAGAGAGTAGATAGGCAAAGATGATGAGGTATCATCCTACCAGAGTTTGAACAAGAAGTATGACAACGTGGATAACTCGCCAATACCTAGAAAAGTGATCATAGATTATCCACGTATTTACCATAGCCTAGGAGGTAAAAAACACAAGTTTGAAAATCGATTTACTAATGCTTCGAGACAAACATAGTAAGCTTAAGATTCTAATTCTATTCATCTTAGCCTAGGGGATTAATAAAACAGAGTTTGATAATGCATTGCCGCATGGAGACTAACACAATGAATTATACTACAGATTTGGTATATTTACTACAACCTAGAGAGTAAACATTACGAGGATGAACATGTGCATTTATCACGACCTAAGGGATAAATGACACGAGAATAAACTTATGTATTCATAACGACCTAAAGGATGAATGAAATAAACCCGGTAATTTGCATACCTACCACAACCTAGAGGATAGATGATTGAAAAGTTTGTGCATTTATCACGACCTAGAGGATAAACGACACAAGGATATGCTTACGTATTTATCACAACCTAGAGGATAAATAACGTAACCTAGATAATTCGTATACCTACCACGACCTAGAGGATAAATAATTGAAAAGTTTGTGCATTTATCACGACCAAGAGGATAAACGACACGAGGATATGCTTATGTATTTATCATATCCTAGAGGATAAATAACATAATCCAGATAATTCACAAACCTACCACGACTTATAGGATAAATAATTGAAAAGTTTGTGTATTTATCACGACCTAAAGGATAAACGGCGCGAGGATATACTTACGTATTTATCACAACCTAGAGGATAAATAACGTAATCCAGATAATTCACATACCTACCACGACCTAGAGGATAGATACTTGAAAAGTGTTTTGGTAATCGAGTCTTAGATAACCAGAGCAAAGATAAGATTGGTGTTTACCGATTGTGTTTGTTCTCAACCAAGGTATGATGACCAATTGAAGTTGAATTTTGAAAATTTTGAATTTGATAATTGAAAGTATAATGCCCGGAGGCTGGTGAAGACTAGGCCTTAGATATGAGTCGTAGGTAAGCTGCCTAGTGAAATCTTGATAACGGTATCTTTGATGGTTGTGTCTGTTCTCAACTGAGGTAGTTATAATGATAATACAAAGGATGGATAATGTTGATCTCAGATTTGAAATTGAGTGTGTCTTAGTTGGTAAGCATGCTTTGAGATTTTCTGTAATTTTCATGGATATTTATGATTGAATGTAATGCATGTATGCATGTTTGATATGATTATACTTAATGTATGCATGATGCATGTTATGTATGCTTGATATGATCATGATAATGTTATGAAATGATGCGATGATTGATAAATGTCAATGCCCATGTTATTTGAACTACGAATGTCAATATAGGCTACAAGATGAGAACTGGGTTTTATTTAATTATCAGACGAGAACTGACTATCCAACGGGAACTAGGAAGAAACATAGGTTAACAGTGTGGTAGAACAATCAGGGGCACTTAATTTTAATCAAAGGGCCTTCGAGAGTTCATCATGAGGTGTTTGATTGAAAGTAGGACAAACGAACGGCTAAGATGAACCGTTGACTAGGACCAACGGAGGAAGGGAGGGCATGGTGACCAGAAATTGGTCACCAGATCCCATGGCTCTCAAGGAGCCACATGAAGCGTATTTAGATGAGTATTGGGGGTATATGATGCCACTCACACCTTTTAAGGCTGCTTACGATTATGTTGATAGAATTGCGTGAGGCTGATCACGTCTTTTTCCAATTGAAATGCGTGAAGTTGCTCACGTCTTTTTGTTGATGACAGACTATTGTCGAGTGTTTGGAGAATTAACTTGCTAAAGCTTGGAGACTAATAGAACAAGTTATATTGCAGATTTCACTTTATCTATCACTACATAGAGGATGGATAATATGAGGTCGACCTTATCGTTACAAAGGGATTAATCAGATAAGACTAAAGATTATAACGTATCACTGCTCGGGGACTAACATGAACGATTATGGTTTTGCGTGTCTACTACAACCTAGGGAGTAGATGGTGTGGGTATCGACTTTGTTTATGTCAAGGGACTAAGTAAACACTACCGAATAAATCTGGAAAATAGATGCTAAAGCTTGGAGACTAACATAGCAGGCTATATCGTAGAATTTGTACATTCATCATTACCTAGGGAATAAACGACATAGGTTTAAA